GGGGGGGGGAGGAGGGAAAGAAAGAAGGGAAGAAAAAAATATCCCAACCAATCAACCAAAAAAAAAAATAAGGTGGGGGGGGAAGCGCTTTTTTCCATCTCGGTTGCGACAGTGATAAGGGGTAGGGAACATCTCATACCTGGTGTGAATGCTAATCAGCCAGGAGTTCTCCTTTTTTCCCAAGACAGGGAACTGTTTCCTTCCAAATTTATTAGAACCTCCTCCACTGCCTCTTTGAAAAACCTTCTTTGTCACCCTCTTCCCAAGTCCTGATACTTCTTTAAAAAAAAAAAAAATGGCTTCGGAGCTCCTTCTATTCTTGATATTGATTCTCTCTCTCTCTCTCTCTCTCTCTCTTTTTCTCCCTCTCTCTTTCTCTCCCCCCCACCCCTCCTCCTTTCTCCTGTCTCTGTCTCTTCTGAGTGGTCTATTGATAAGTCCCTAGAGGCACTGGGTCAGCCTGCCCGTAGGAAACCAGACACAATGCACAAATCTCCGAGTGCCATTCTGCCATCAGCAAGCAGACCACGTTTAGGAGAGAGGAAAAAAAACACACACACACACACACACACACAGAGTAGAGCAAAAGACAGAGAGAGAGAGAGAGAGAGAGAGAGGGAGAGAGAGAGAGAGAGGGAGAGTGTGAGAAAAAGACTGATTGGAACAGGAGGGAGGGAGGGAGGGAGCGAGAGAGCGAGGGAAAGAGAGCGACACTGCCAGTCAGGTTAATCATCCCTACTTTAATTAGCTGTTCGGCTTAGACATAAAACAATTGAATTTGAATGATCTGTCAGTGGGCTCGGCTGAACCATAGGGGAAATACGAATATTACAAAAAAGACTGTTGGTGTATTCAGATAAGCTCACTGGGAAAATCCTCAAAGGATAACTATAAAAACTTACCACCAAACAAAAAAGTAAGATTCAAATGGCATTATACAGAGGCCATCTCCAAAAAGCTGGGACATCCCTTCCTTCTATTTTTTACATATCACTGCAGCTTTTGCTGACATAAACACCTGCACCTTCCCACAGTCTTCAAAGACCACCTGTCTTGTGGGGTGAGGAAGGGAGTCCAGGTTTGCCTGCTCCTTTGGTTCACTTAAAGCAAGACCATGCTGCCCTTCAGTCGAATTTTCCTGATGGATCACTGGGATGTTATGATTCTGGAACTACACAAGCTCCGGGACACATCCTTGCCATGCATGTCTGCACAAACACAGACAAATCGAGCACTGACAGCGTACAGACGGAGATGCTGTGAAAAGGCAATGCTGGGTATTGGGGTAAGACAAGTCTCAGGCACCAAGGAAGTGGAGAAATTATCCCCCCACATAGGTGGCAAAGTAATCTATTTCTTCTACCCTGGGCTGCAAAATTAAGTACAGTTCAAATGGATACTTCTTTGTGATATACAGTGCAGCAGCAGCACTGTGTAGCAGGCAAGGCAGAGATTTATGACACTTGTGCAAAGACTGCTTCTAAAAAGGTGTGGGCCAGTCGGCCTCTCTCCCTGTGAAGGAAGGCAGCAGATAACACTCTGCTTGAGAGGGAGCTGTCAGCATGTTTAGCCCCTGGACATCACACTCCTGCCCTGCCAGAACTTTCCCATGTCAGATGTAAGGGACCTGGGTTTCAGGACACTGAATGTCCCCTCATCAGGGGCTCAGATGGCCCCTCCTGAGCAAAGAGCACCAAGGGAGGTGTTTGAATTTATTGCACTGGGCAGGTATGTTCTCAGCGTTTTAAATAAATTTTCTATATTTCATACAGGGCTGCAGCAAATCCGTAATTCCTGATCAGCTCTGTGAACATCTGCTGTATATAAACTTTTAAATGGGCATGACTAATCTGCCAATGCCACTCAAAAGCATGGGAAGAAAGTAGAGAAGGGACTCACAATGTAGCTGACTGCTGGCCTTTCAGAGGGAGTAGTGGGATTCTCCCCTCACACTGTATTTTGGGTACAAATGCTTAAGGAAAGAAGAAACAAAAGACAGAAGTTCTATCAATGTCTCTATATTAATTTTATCATGTTTTTGACATAGGTGTCCAGGCAAATCTGGCACCAGCTTTTATGTGTTTTGCTTTTAATGGAGAGCTGATGGAAGATGTCACTATTATTCATTCCTTCTATCGACTTCTGCTATGAAAAAGGTGGGTTCCTGCCCTTTTCCACCTTTTACAATGTTATATGCTGGCTGGCTGGCTGTGTCCCATCTGCCTACCAGCCCCACTGGGACCTGTTGAGTCAGCACAGTTTACAGAAGACCTAACCAGTCAACAGGAGAGGGACGCATTGCAGAAACAATTGGGACACTGGGCTTAATGAGGTTATTTAGGAGCTCTCTCCTCAGCCTCCCCAAAACATGAATTTTTCACATTTGGAATATTATGGAAGGTAAGATGTCCCAAAGAACAGAAAAAGAGATTTCAGAGAAATACAGTACCATCAAAAGCCTCAACTCCTTCTCAGATGAGATTTTGTAGAGCGCAGTGACACAGACAAGTCTCTTCCCTGGGTCAGTACCAAAGTAATAATCCAACAGAGTGCAAAACAGCTCTGGGCTATTATTTTATTTTTTACAAAATATGCAGAGGACTTGACTACCTTATGCAGGGATTCAGTGAAGAAACAGTGTGCAGTCATGAAATTACAAACTATGGTAATGGTACACGGGGCCCTCCCTAAGGTTGTGCAGACAACATTAGCCGTGCCATTTCCTAACTTTTAAGTGTTTGACTTAGTAACATTAACATTACAGTAATGGACTTTCAGTATAATTTCCCAGGGTTTTCTTTAAAAGTCAACTTAGAAGCTGTTCCACGTTGCTGCCGAGGCTGGGGCGGGTTAGCACCTGTGGAGCTGTAATACATGACTCCAACACTCCAGCCGGCAGTGCCAGCAGCAGCTCCACTAAAACGGTGCTGACGAGGGGATCAATCACTGGAAGACTGTGAGGACACTTCATTCAGTGATTTGACAGTGTCTTCCTGACAAAGAAATTACTGAGAGACAGGAGCCCTAAGCTGACCTTCAAGGAGGAGAGCAAAGCACACTGCCACGGGGAGAGACTCTTTGGACCCTGGCTCCCCTAACCCGCACATCTTCTGTTGCTGTTGGATTTGCTCCCATTCAGTTGACTTCACGGATTGCTGCTCCTCTTGTCTTGTAGCTTACTTTCTCTCATGCTATTTCTCCCTCCCTACACTACTCCTTGTCACAGTCTGTTTCTCATACCATTGCCCAAAAAGAGGCATCTCCTCAAATACCTCCTCCCCTCTGGTCTATCCCAGGCATGAATATACCCTGAGCAAAGAGGAAAGCAAACTGTTTAGCATGGTAAATTAGGCCACGTGGTGTTTCAGGCTGCCTTAACTAGACCACTCCTTGCAAGACTGTTTAAAACTAACTCGGGTATCATAATTTGCAATCCACAGTGTAGACATATCAAAATGTCCTTGTTCTCATTTCCACTGCTTGCTGCCATAGCAACCCCTGGTCAAAAGGAAATTTCCATTGATATCAGAAGGAGCAGCATTTCACCCAGGTGAGTTTTTACTATGTGGCACATATTTTATTAGCATGTGTTCCTGATACGGAGATCCTCAAATCTCTTATAGTGCCTGATGTAGAAAACACTACTGTTAAGTCCTGCTCTCAGCTGGGCCCCTTCTACTGGAAGCTACAGAAGTCAAGGACCTCCTGCTTTCTACCTGAATATCATTCAAGAGCTGACGTGTAGTCTAAATAAACGCAAAAGGCCAGGAGGAGCTCCAGAAAATGTACATCACCTTCCCCTCCTGAGATTTTTATCACAGATTTTAACTCAGACACATGATAATGATCTCTAGCTTTGCATCGTACCCTCTTGCTTGCTCTTCCTTCATATAAATTATTGCATGTATCAGGCAGATTTAAAGAAGTGATAATTGAAAGCTCAGTTTGTCTGATCAGTTGAATAAAGTCTGCTGTTTGCTATGGAAAATACAATCAGTGCTGCAACAAGTTTTCAGACTCATGTGTATGACACCTTCTCCATATATTGCTACATAATTGGAAGAGGGTTTTATGACAACTGTACCTGGATTTGCCATCAGCAAAAGGCAGGATTTATGAAAGAAAAAGCCACAAGAACTGCTCCTCACTTTCTGACTTCTACATGCATCACTTAACGCCAGCCAAAAGCAGGACAAGGAAATGGTAGAGTACTTACTTCTTTAATGTATATAAAGTATTCTGCAATGCCACTTGTAGCACTAAATACAGCTGACAAGACCTGACATTAATGGAAAATCAACAGATCTGGGTGGCACAGAAAGGAACCCGGTTCCTTTGCAAAGAAGGAGCTCTGTCTATTTGAAAAAATGGAATTTAACTATGTAATCTCAGGATGAGCTGTATAAACATATTCCTCTAGATGTATTGGCTTGTCTTCATAAGCAACTGTGAGTCTGTGCTTTTTTTTCAGAGATGTAAACCAGCACAGCATGTTGGAGAGGGTGAATGCACGGTTATTATTCAGTACGTAAGAAATTACAGAAAGAGACTGGGAAGTCCACTTGTTACAGAAATCAACTCCTTGCTTATCTTTTGGGAAAGCATCCTTCCTAATTTGCATTACTGTGCTCAGTAGGAACCTTTGCAGGCTATAGGGAGAAAGGTACCATGCC